TCCCGTCCTGGTGTCTCACGCCCACCAGAAACACTCAACACAGCTACACCCTTTATAATGGGGATGTCCCCCTCCACCCCCGCCACAAACATTAGCATACATGAGCCTTGTCCCACATACCCCATACATTCATGTCCATATACCCTGCACTGCCAGTGCACGTGTATCTGCACACGCAGCTGTACATCCATCGACACGAATACCCCCACCTTTCCCTCCTGCACACATGTAGGCACACGCCTCCGACTCACAGCACAGGGTTACCTCTGTGCCATGTCCGAGGCTGCCTGTGCTGCTCTTCCCAGAACAGCCAAACTATTTCAGCGAGCAGAGCGGTTTATTGTCACGTCTCACTCCGAGAAGCGGCTTTCTGCCGCACCCAGCCATGGTAACTAGCTCCACCACAGATGGCAATTACGATCAAAGGCCCCGTTCCAAGGAGCTGGTTTGATCACGGGGCTCGACCTCCCGGCTGATGCTTTACCTTGTCCCTCTAGGCACAAGAGAATCCATCAAGTATCAGTTTCAAAGATTGAAGCACTCTCGGCATCAGCTGCTGAAAAACATATGCAACACGCATCTGGGGAAAGAAACTGCAGCTCTCTAATCCCTAGAGATTCACCACAGAGCTGTTGCGTCCTCAGCACTGCTGGCCTCCAGGGAGCTGCAGCAGCATTAGCGAGAGCAGGATTCAACCACACAGACAATTCCTTGACCGACTCTGTGCAGCAGTGTGAGATGAGCTGCTCAGGGGACCTGAGAGCAGGATTCAGCTCTGTGTCAGCTGTGACAAGGCTTTCGGACCCACAGACAATGCCTGTTCATGGAAACAAAGCGCTGGAGGAGATGCGTAACACCCCTTTCACATCAGGCTATTTGCTAGATCCTCATGCCATTAGTCAGGATCCCTACACAACCCAGAATGACAAAGCAGAGCCGGCCTCCCATCACAGCAGCACCGTCCAGCATCACCTGGGCAGGACAGGGAACCCCCAGCTGCAGCGGGGATGCTGGGCTGCCTCTTTGGAGATGCTGGTCCAGCCTGGACTCAGCCCATTGATGCCATCTGCCGTTCAGAGAGCACTTGAAGGAGAAGAGGAGCCTGTCCAGCACTGCTGAACTCAAAACACTCATAAAACTGGCTTCAAACACCATCAGGGTGCACTGACCTACCTTCCTGCTCCCGAGCCTTCGCTCACGGTCACATCTCCATCACCCAGAGGGCAGACACCACCTTTCTGTTTCTATCAAAAAGAGACCGTCTCTCCCCTGCAGCCTACTTCAGAGCCGTGGGAACGACACACAACCACAGGACTCAGGGTGCAAGTGTGAGAATCACCAATGCAGAGACTTAATCCCCTACCTCATGCCTGCCAGCATGCTGGAACCAGTGAATTCCACCGAACCCATAGAGGTAATGGGAAAACTGGAGGATCTCCCCCGATCCTGTAGGAAATCCTAGAATCCTACTTTTCCTTCTGTTGTTCTGTTGTCTTGTCCTGTTTCTTCCCCTTTAGCTTGGAGGTGGCACCTTAACACTATGTACCCTTACTTCCTTTCTGCTGTAGCTAACAGTTCTCCTCGGTGTCCCTTATCACCAGGCGTGCCAGTGGTGGTGGTAGTAGTGGCAGTGGGGGTCAGGATGAGTACTGACCAAGCTGGTTTTGGGATGCACATGCTGTGGATGGGGAGCGTGCTTACCTCTTGCTCCTTGCAGTTAGGTCCTTCTGCTTGGGAGCACTCACACAGCGTACGTGGATGCCTGGGTTTGGCAAGTCCCTAAAGGGCATAAGGCTGCAATGCACTCTCACCGCGTTTCAAATTGCGTTGATTTTCCCCGGCCTCTGCAGCAGTCTCATTAAATCTCTTATTCTGTGATTAATTAACAGAGCGCCTCCAGTCTTACCTTGGGTTGCTCTGCCATGCCAGCAGAACAGCTCAAAAGAACACTCAAGAAAAGTTTTAAACCTTTCTTGAAATAATTAAAGAAGATTAATTTGAAAACACAGCCAGGTTCCTTCAGCAGAGGTCAAGCAGAGGCAGAGTCCAGGAGGCCCTTTAACCACGTCAGGGAACAGGCTGAACTTCAGACACCAAATTTCCACGTACCAGGGGGGCTCTGTCAAGGGCAATGTACTCCAGGAAGCAGAGCCCAGCACAGGGATAGATCAGGCCTACCTTTTAATCCTAGTTTTGCCACCAAGTGGCTGTGGGTACGTCTTTTCTCACCTTCCTGCTGCCTGGTTACCTCTCTCTGTTTGCAAAGCCATTTATAATCTGCTGGTAAAAAGCATGACATTATTACTATGGAAAACATTCCAATTCATCAGACACAAAGGTGTCTCCAAGTGGGCATTATCTGAAAATATAGTACAGCAGGGTGAGCTGGAAGTGTATGAAGTCTCAGCAGCTCCCTTTCCCAGTTTCCCAGCAGGTTCTGGGGAGAGCCCAGCAGGCAAGGCAGGAGCTGCAACTCCTGGGAAATCTGCTCAGGGTGGTAACCAAGCCTGGAAAAACTTGGTTGGAAAAGCCAAACCAGGTTGAGATGTCAAAGTTTTGTTTAAAAAATAAAAATAAAATAAAATAGAGGCTCTGTATGTCCATAGCACCACTGGAAAGGAAAGTGCAGCCAGCTGGGACTACAGAGCACCACAAAGCGACCTGCCACCGGCTGCAGAGACAGCAGCCGCGAGAACATGCGCCTGATCCTTCATTTGGTAATAACAGCTTGGATTTCACTGACAAAGGCAGATGACCTAGACCCGGGTCTCACTACACTGCAACTCAGAAAGGCCTTCCTTCTCTCCTTCTCTAAATGCTCTGCACATCTCCAGCTTTGATTACTGTCTGTCTCCCCCCATCCTCATCCTGAGGCCCTGACATCTCTTCATTAAGTCCTAGAGCCTGGTTTATTCCCATGACACGGCTTTGTCACTCTCTCCAGCCTTTCTGCATGCAGAAAGGAAAGGATCAGCCCCCAGCTGTGCTAGAGCAAGGCAGAGGGACCAGATGCCTCCTCCTCTTCCACCAGCATAACACCAAAGTCAGCTGAGCAGCAGAATCAAACCCCGAGCCTCGGCCAGCACAGCCTGCCTCGTTGCAATAAACAGGGCTCAGAGCTAACGAGAAAGCAAGAGCAGAGGAGTATCAGGCTGTGCTGTGTGTGGGAAAGGTTCCTTAAGGACAAAGGAAAACACTTCGTTAATAGCTAGAGACTCTCAGCCGTGCAGAGGCGGCTGAAACAGAGATCTGCTGTGCCGGGAGACATGGGGTTTGCTCTAGAAAAGAAGGCTCCCTCTCGCCCTCCAAGCCACCGCCACCTCCCCCTCCAATTTTTACAGTTCAGAGGGATGTTTTATTAGTGTTCTCAGGTCAGGAGGCAGCACTGTCACCCTCAGGGCTGCAAGCAGAGACGGGTGCTCTTAGCACCGGAGCCAGCAGACCTTTAATCACCTGCGCTAGCAGAGACGGCACTAGCCGGAAGCGCCTGGCCACAGCACCCTGCTCAGCCCGCCAGCTGACCTCCCCACCCCCGGTGGGCACGCGGCACCGTTTATCCAAGACGCTTTCCAAAGCTAGGGAACCACCGTCCTCCCCCAAGAAAAGGAAACTGAGGCCCAAATCAGGAAGACAAACTGCTGCAGAACACAAAGGAGCCAGAAGTCCTGCCCGCCTGGGCTAGCCAACGGCATGGTCCACCTCCAAACGCTGCGTCAACGTGGAAGACGCTCCCGAGACTTTTCCAGACCCGCTCTGGGGAGCGGGCACTGAGCTCCCCCGTTTCACACGCTGCTTAGCAAACTCTAACCACCAGCAGCCTACACCAAGCACTAATCCAAAGCTGTTTTACAAACCTGCCTGTTATTTCTTCCTTCCCACCGTCGGACCATTCCGATAGGCCTAAATAACGCGTTGACAGTTCCCCCCATCCCCTGTGAGGGCCTGTGACCACGGCTCACCCCACGGCAGAGCTGGGCCCAGTCATTACCCGGGGAAGCTGCAGGGAAACACAGGCGACAGACAATCACTCACCCTGGAGCCCTCCCCATCTGCACTATGTCAAGAGCTGGACTCTGTGTCCTTCCACCCCAGGCAGAGATGCGTTTCTGCGTTAGGTGTAAAGCTCCTTTGCTACAGATGCCTTTACACAACCTCCCAAAACAGGGTGCCTAAACAATTAAAGCATCAGGACCACAGATGGGAACATGACAAGCAACGAGGACAGACACCATTATGTCTATTGTACTTAGCCAGAGACAAGCAGGTGGGATGTAAATAATTAGCGAGCAGGTTGTTAGCTGTGGAATCGGTGTCTTTCCCCTTTCATCTGCTCTACATAGCACTTTGAGATCAGAAGAAGATGGGACTTGCAGCTGACAGGGATGCACTTCAAAAGGAGCCACTCGCTTCATTGCTTCCTAGCAAATACCGACAGACAGAACAGCTCTGGCCACCCACGAGAGGGACAGCAGCCGGCCCAGAGGACAACAGCTAGGGGCCAGGGTCTCACCGGAGGAGCGAGGATCCCGTGGGACGCAGGAGATGCAAGTCCTGCCTGTGTCCTCCAGCACGAGCTCGCCACCAGCTTGCCTTGCCAGTTGGCGCAGGGGCCGGTCACCATCGGAGCCTGCGCCCAGGGGAGCAGCGCAAAGCAAGCCTGGGCGCCAGGGCTGCTTCCCCGGGGAGTCCCTGCCATTGCCACGGCCGCCGCACGGTGTCCTCCGAGCTCTGCCGCAGCGCGTGGGGCCCTGGCAAGAGATCCAAGCTGGCTTTAGCAGCCCTCGCTAAGCCCCGCACAGCCTTTTTCCTTCAGCTATCCCTCTGCCTCCTTCTGCACAGGACAAAGGAAATTTCATTGGAAAAATCCCACTCTTCTCTCAAGCCAGGGACTGTTTTAAAAGAGGCACATTACAAGTTGGAACAAAAAAGAATGGCGCAGCAGTGTCCGGGCTTGCTGACGCAGGGATACTGCGCTGACCCCAGCCTTTTTTTTTGTGGCTCCCTCCCTCTTTGTAGGCCAGGTCCCCTGTTTTTATACAATCACAAGAGAGATGGCCCCGAGGCAGCCCTTAGCACAGGCAGGGCTTGTCCGAGAGCTCTTCTGAGGACCGCTGTTAACGGTGCAGCTGCTACAAGCTAGAACTATAAGCCAACAGTTCAAACAGCCCTCAGCTCAAACCGCTCAGAAAGCTGGAAACCAAATAACGAGGACGCGATGGCCAGGGTCCTTTGCCTTCACTGCCAAAGCAAAACTTTACCCAAAGCTACCACCCAGACCCAGGGATGAGAGAGCTTTAGAGTCAGAGGCAGGGCTCATATTTGCTCCTTTCTCCTAAAACCGAATAGAGAATCCTAAAACCATTGAAAGGGCCAAGAACTGGGTTGGAGCATCGCATGTTGACGCCATCCACGCGTGAAACCCAGCAAAGGCAGTTTCTGTGCTAGTCCTGTTCCAAAAGCAAGGTCTTCCCTCTGACTGAAACAGTCCACCAGGCATTCACCCCTCCCAGTGGCGCTGGCAGCCCCTTGCTCCAGCTCCTGGCAAAGCAACAGTCGAATGCTACGGGTTTGCAGGAAAAGCCTTGCTATGAAGGCAAAAGAATGACACCCCCACCACCACCAAATGTGGCTGCAGATTAGGAGTTTGCCTTGTTGCAAGCCAAGGGGGGGTCTCTGCAAGGAAGCACACACCGATCACAGGGTGCTCAGAGAGGGCAACCTCACATGAGCTCTCCCTGAACAACCACTGACCCGTCTGGATACTCCTAGCACCTCTGAACTCTTGTCCTTTCATGGTGGGTCAAGATGGCAGGATGGAGGTGCTTGCCCATGCCCTGATCTCCAGAGTCCTTCCTGTTGACACAAGACATGACACACCAGCTCTGTGAGCAGTTCCTTCCCCTGGGTTTCCCTGTAGAGCTCTGAAGGCTATCGGAGGGGACCCCTGGCTAAAGCGCTCCATGTGGGCTGTCCCCTTCCATCGTCCCTCTGTAGGGCTGGAATTGCAGCATCCAGGAGGAGGAAGAGGAACAACAACAAGAGAAACAGGCTCCTACTGGCCACAGCTTCAGAGCAAGGCTGGCTTTTACCCGCTAGCAGCCAGAGCAGAGCTGCCAGGCTCCCAGAGCAGCTCAGGTGGCGCCCACACAGGCTCCGCACTGCCAGGAGCCAGCCCGGCAGCAGCACTGCCACCGCTGCTTGATGTAGCGGGGCAGCAGGGTCCTCTGCAGGAGCCAGCTAGGAATCAGAGACACACAGGGCCTCCACAGCACTGCTCAGGCCCTGGTTCACCCCCCCGACAGTCAGCAGGCAGTTCCTGACCACGATGCTGGAGCAGGCACAGCGCGGGGTGGGCATGGGGGGCAGGCTCTCCCACTTGTTCTTCTCAGGGTGGAAGGCCTCCACAGACTCCAGGACAGTTGGCTGGTTTCCTGGAAGCACAAAGTGAGGCACTAGGTCACCCGGGGAAGCACCTGCAAGCATCCCCTGCTTGCCTGTTCTGAGCTAGGTGTTTGCACTCTTAGCTCCAGCCTCTTACACGGTCCTTTTTCCCTGCTCCCTTGGGCCAGCCATGGCTGAGATCTCTCTGCTCTGCTCCACCGTGCAATAACAATACCTAATCCTTGTATGCTTTTAAAGGGTTGCTACCATCTCCAGCACCTCACCTAGTCCTCCAGCCACAATGACTCTCCCTTTCAGGTAGCCAGCAACAAAGTCTGCTCGCCTTTTCTTCAAGTAGGAGGAGCGCTCCATCTTCATCCAGCCACCTGGGGAGGGAACAGACAGACTGCTGGTTGGGCTGAGCTGCCAGTCACCCCACCACAGGGATGTGCTGGGCTCAGGGCAAGTCCCCATTGAATTTTCTAGGCTATTTAAGTCCCAGGAACTTAACCTTCAGCCAAACTCCTGAAAATAAAAGGAGAAACAATTGAAAGCCTGGGAACCCAGCTTTCCCAGGTGAGGCTAGACTGGTCTCCAAAATCCCAGAAAGCTCCCCCCTTGTAAGCAAGTCCCCTGCATTCAACGCCAGCAAGTTTACTGGCAGCAAGCACTGCATCAGCATAGAAAACAGTGGAGACCGAGTATTAGAGGAGTATCCAGACTCTTGGGAAACCATCTGCCCCCTGGCCTTCTACTTATTTGTGGAAGTGCAGTT